CGAGTGATGGGAAGTTATTCGGGACCCACCAGTCCCGACACATTTTCCCTACTCATTCGCGATATCCTCATCGCGCACCAATCTCTTGTTAGTGGATTTTGGAGGGATAGACGGGAGAGGAGGGTGAGGTGTTATGGGTGGTTAGTTTGCCAGGGTCCGTTTTGTTCTTTTCCCATTCCTTTCTCAATGTCTTCCTTAGGGGCGGAAGAGGGTATGGGGGAGTCGAAGGTTCTACAGCTTAGACCAGGTTGCTCATTTCCATCATAGCTCTGCCTCTTTATCTTTCCCTCAATTGAGATGCAAACTTTCTCTTAAGTCAACTCTGTATACCCAGCAGGGCAGCCCATAATCCTTTCAACTTCAGTAACATGAAACCGACGGGGCTCTCCTTGCTTCATGTACTTAACTACTTGTATGCTGGCTTTATTCCCAGGGTGACAATTTGTTGTCATAACACAATTGTTTTTCTCATTCTATGCCTTGACTTTGTTGATAACAAATTGTAGGTAAGTTTTTGGATGCGACTCGATGTCAGGCATTTGCTCCGGAAGGGAGATGTTCGTCCAGTACAACCGTCGTCTTTGCTGTGGTGATACCCACTTCGAATCGGTGAGCCCAGACACAACTCCCCTTAAGTGCTTCGTAATTTCAAATCTGTCTTCCCGTTTCATCGAGGAAGCATTCTCAAGCAGAAATCATTTTGGTCTCGCCTTATTCATTACTCTTATATAAAAAAATATATTTTTCGGCCCGTGCAATCCATGTTTTCCCTTTACAGTTCCCCGACGCTCAGGCCTTGCCAAATCCACATGCATCTCCCCCATGTCATTTCGTCCGACTTTTCTCAGGTCCTGCCAATGTGCATTCATATCACTCTTTGTATTTTCTTGTTTCTTGCTTATTTTTAACTTTTTCATGCATTCTGCCCAGTTCATCCTTTGTGCATCTTTCTTTCAGACACCTTGTCAGACCTTTTTCTCAGACTCATGCAACCCAAATACTCATCTGTTTCCCAGCCTGCTAATCTTTCTCTCAGATCCATACATAGTCCATCATACGAGTCTTTTTCTTTTCCAGACGTCTTGCTCGGCCCATTTTCAAGCTTATGCCCAATCAATCACACAAGTCGCTTGCCAAGTTTTTTCTCAAACTCATGCAACATCAATTTCTCACCCGTTTCTCTTCTGGACATCTTGCCAGGCCTTTTCTCAAGCCTGCGCAAAGTCAATTACTCATCCATTCTTCTCTTCTGGACATCTTGCCAGACCTTTTCTCAAGCCTGCGCAAAGTCAATTACTCATTCATTTTTCTCTTCTGGACATCTTGTCAGGCCTTTTTTCAATCTCATGCAACGTTAATTACTCATTCATTCTTTTCTTCTGGACATCTTGCCATACTTTTTCTCAAGCCTGCGCAAAGTCGATTACTCATTCATTCTTTTCTTCTGGACATCTTGCCAGGTTTTTTCTCAAGCCTGCGCAAAATGAATTACTCATTCATTCTTACGCTCATGGTACCTTTCTCTTTTGCGCGCTTTTTATTTGGTAGATGGCACACCTTCCCCCCACTCAAAATGCGATGTCCCCATCGCACGACTAGTTCTCACTCGGAGGTACGCAACCTTTGGCCCACCATCGAATAGGCGGATGCCGGCCCATCAGCCCCAAAAAGGAAGGGTGATCAGTCCTCCCCCTGCTGATAACTAACCTCATCCCCTTACTCCGTCCGACCTTTTGCTGCTTACGAGACGGGCGTCATTACCGAGCTACCTCCTCATATCTGGAAGGCAGGTCCAGTCCAAGCCTCCCAGGACCCCGTCTTGTCGTAAGGGCTTCCTCGCGAATCGTTCCTCCCGAGTGGTGTTCTCTTGGATCCGGCCTCTTCCTTTCAAGAAAGTTGGAGCTCTCAGTTAGTCCACGAGTACAGTTACGAAGACCTCGCAATTAGTCCTGAAGCGGTTGTAATGCTCCGGCAGGGCGGTGTCACTCGCCCCGTGGTGGTTGCGGCTTCCACCCGGTACTACGCCCAACTTCTCCCTTCTGGACAGTGCTGCTCAACTTAACGCAAGCCGCCGTGGTCCATTCCAAGCGGCCATGCCGCCCCTCAACGACATGGCGTGTGGTTGGGGAGAACAAAAGAGACTAGAAGAAAAGAATGACTCTCTCGCCCATTTGGTTCCCTCACCCTTTGACGTTTAGGCGTTCAACACGAGGCGCAATTTGAACTTCCCGACTAGAGCTCCTTGTCGAGGTCAGTTCCGGACGTCCCGCACCGATCCAAGTGGTAGGTGCCTTGGTCCTTTAACCCTCATCCCCTTACAAGAGGAACAGGTCGCACTGAGACTTTTTCCCTTACAGGGATAGAGGTCTTGGGGTCGCCATGCGAGCACCGGTATCCCCCTCCTGCTGAGGTCAAAGACTAGAAAAAGAGAAATCCATTTCAATGCTATTTCCAAGTTCATTTCAAGTTGCCTAGGGTCCCCTGCCTATGCAATGCAATATTCAATCCTCAATCATTCAATCCAATGTTATTTCCAAGGCTAATTCTCACGGCTGGTCTGACAGCCTCTTATCAACAAGGCCACCCTCACGGCCGGTTTGGCGGTCATTCTCTTAATAGCCATTTCTCAAGACTGACCCTTCCGCCCACTCAATCCTCAATTTTTTAATTCCTCGACACCCAATTTATGTGACCATCCCAACAGTCCCTGCCCTTCTCGGCTTTAAGGCTCTGCCTTTTTTATCTTGTCCTTCTCTTTCGCATTTTTCTTCCGCCCCCTTGGCAATTTTCAGTGGCCGACCCACCGGCCTTTTCCATTTCCTCCATTCAACTCATTGGCTATTTCAACGACCGACCCACCGATCTTTTCCACCTCTCTCATCCATCCTTTGGCTATTTCAATGACCGACCCACCGGCCTTTCCCATCTCTCTCATCCTATTGGCTATTTCAATGACCGACCCACCGACCTTTTCCATCTCTTTCATTCATCCCATTGGCTATTTCAATGACTAACCCACCGGCCTTTTCCATCTCTCTCATTCATCCCATTAACTATTTCAATGATAGACCCACCGGCCTTTTCCATCTCTCTCATTCCAGCTCATTCTCAATCAACCTTTCTCAATCCAATATGTAGGGGACTCCAATGTCTATTTCAAAAGGAATGACCCTTGTCAAGGGTCATTCCCGAATAATCTGGTTAGGGTCGTTCTTATCCATTCTCAAGTCGAACAGCCTGGTTAGGGCCATTCTTTTCCATTCTCAAGTCGAACAGCCTGGTTAGGGTCATTCCTTTTCATTCTCAAGTCGAACAGCCTGGTTAGGGCCATTATTTTTCATTCTCAAGTCGAACAACCTGGTTAGGGTCATTCCTTTCCATTCTCAATGTTAGTGCCCGAGGGGGTGGGCCTCGAGGTTACGGATCTCATTTCTGTCTTGGAGGTTAGAAGGTGACAATCTCATTTTTTGCGTGTTGTTCTCTCTCTTCCATTTCTCATAGTAATGTATCATCCATTCCATTTCTCACAGTAATGTACCATCCATGTGTACATCCGACTTAGCGTCTCGCACTCGAGTCGGGGCTTGCGACCCCAAGTAGCACTAGCCCACCCGACCGTTCATCCATAACAAAAGACAAAAGCGCCCCTTCCATTTTCACTCTTCCTGATCTCTTAAGTCTCGGCTATTCTCAGTCTCATTCACGACTCAGTTGGATTAGGCTCCTAGGGAAGGAGTGTTCTTCACGCCTCTTAACCCATAGGTTCCCTAACCTCTCTTGTACTCGACCAATCATTCAATGCCATGGTTTGCTCGTCAATCCGCACTCAAGGTTTTCCCCTCTCAAAAGCATAATCCTTGTTCCATCCAAATTTCACAATACACCCTCTCCCAATTGGTCTCATCCCAAATCCCATGTCTTTGTCTTCGGTACCCAAAGTAGCTCATCCAAAAAAGTCTCAAAACTATCTTCTACTTTAGCGTGACACAGCCTTGGCTGACCCTCTTTTCACTTCCTCCTTAGCAAGCTTGCCCATATTATACACGTTCTCGTCATTCTCATGTGACAGAAAAACAACGATCCCTTTCAATGCTAGGTGAACACATAGTTCCTATTGTTGCCTTGCGCATCGTTTTGCCCAGTTCCTTGTCCACCCTGTTCCTTGGCAGGCTTCCTAACCCTCAGGCCATAGGTCTCGATCTCTCTTTTCATCCTTACAATTTTATGCAACTCTGCCTCGTTAAAAAAATCCACTGGTGTGGCTTCCACCCCTGCCCTTGCGAGTTCCCGAGTCTTAATAATCCATTCGTGCCTGATTACATTGGTCCATTGTTGAAACCAATGACTGGGCGTTGGCCCGAACTCGTCCTCCCATCTGAAAGCCTCATTGCCCGGTTGGTGCATCGGAGACCGCCCCTCTTCCCTCGGCCTTGAGATCTCATCCCTCTCATCCCCGCTGCTGATTTCTATGACTTCCCGTACGTCCTCCTCCTCGTTCCCCTCGTCTTCAGTCTGTAGGGGGCTATACTCATCAGCAAGATTCTTTGGATCGTAGGTAAAAGGAATCTTTGTCCCCGTCCCATACCCCTCGCAACTGCCGTGACCCCTTCGTCCCTCAAGCGGGCTCTCCCTTTTCTCCTCGTCCTCCTCACGTTCGTCGCGCATACCTTGTCCCCCCTCGCTTTCCCCATGCCAAGCCTCACGTGGTTCGCCCGTGTTGGCCCCTTCCTCGTTAGAGACCCGAGCCTTATCACCCATTTTTGTGTTGCCTCTTTCTTCCACATTTGCCCTTCCTTTTTCGCCCTCACTGTCAGATGATATTTCTATACCTTCTCCCTTGCGGAGGGGTGAGGGTTTCCTACACAAGCATTTCCTTCCACCCCTGCCTACCACTGGCCCGCCCATGAGCCCAATGCACAATTTTCTCTTCGCCGTCCTCCTCCCTTGGCTTGGTCTAGCTTCTTCCGTTCCAGTAGGCCTGTTGATTGCCCCGCTGTCGCTCTCGTTGCCGAATTTCATTTTTGTTTTTTCTCGTTTTACTCCTAATCATGTATAACAAAACAACACCCGCAATGTCCCTCACAGACTCGCGCCTCCCCCCCCCTTAGGCCGGTAGGCATTCCCACAATGCACCCAGTATCCCTTGCATCACGCCCTTTTTATATATGCGAATGCGTCGTTTTTGATGACCCCATATTTTTTTCGTCAAAAACTATGGTACAATGCCCCAAACATCTTCTCGTTGTCACACAAGCCAGATATTGGAAACCCCCAAGTCATGCTACTTTTCAACCTCAGTCAGTCCAAGCCAAAGCACCAGTCCCAAAAAATGATAGTCCCACGAACATGGTCAGAGACAAACCATAGTATGGGCAAGGTTGTGGTTAGTCTTTTGCTTGTGGCTCCTCTGTTTCCTTATCTTCGGCCTCCTGAAGCCATTGTTCCACTGAGTCCCAACTTAGAAACCTGACCAGTCGTTGCCCCGGGACGGACCCTTTCAATCCAGTCCCATCCAAATCTTCAAGTTCGAAGGTGTTCAGTTCCACCCGCTTGGCGACCCGGTAGGGGCCTTTGAACCTCCTTCCCAATTGTCCCGACCAAGTATTTTCTCGTGCCGAGTTCCTTAACAATACCATCTCCCCCACCTGAAGTGGCTCCTTTCTGACATTCTTAACCTGGTTCCACCTTGCTTTGTCCCTCATTCTGTTGTCCAGCACCCGGCTGGCGATGTCTTCCACGACCTCCTCATTCTTAAGGATTTGTTGACATCTTGCCTCGATTAACTCTTCAGTGGTCATTTGCGGATCATCATCTAATCTATTACAGGTAGGTACCAAGGCTTCCACAGGAAAGTCGATCTCTCTTCCGTACCAAAGTTCTGCCGGGATACATCCTGTTGTTCTTTTAGGAGTCATATTTTCTGCAAAGACGGCCTGCTTAAGATACCTAGGCCAGTTCCCCAGATGGTATGCTGCGAGCTTTGCAATCGTGTTCTTCAAGGTTCGGTGCCCTCTTTCCACAGGTGCATTGGCCTCAGAGTGATACGGCTCGATGAGTTTCATCGGAACGCAGAGTCTCTTAAGCATCCCCAATACTTCTTCGTTCACAAATTCCGTCTCATTGTCTGCTATAAACCTCCTGACGAACGAATGCCTTAAGTAGAAGTCTTCTATCCATCCCGCCACACTCCTCCCTATCTTTTTCTTGAGGGCGACTGTCTCCACGAACCCACTCAGGTTGTCTCGCGCATCCAGGATATACTTGTACCCATCCGTTGATACAGGCGTGAATGCAAGGTCGCGGTGGACCAGATATCCCTGCCCTAGTACCCGCGTTGGTCTAAGCGGCTCGAAGACTCGTACCGAGCTCCGTTCTTGGCAAATAAGGCAAGTCTGGCAGTATATAGCGACCATGCCTGCCATGCCTGGCCAATAATATAGCGGCGTTATCTTTGCAAGTGTTCCTTTGAACGACCGATGACCTCCAGCTAACCCGTGGTGCATTGCCTGGATAACGTCTACTTGCCTAGATCTTCTGCACACAACCCTTCTAGGCATAGCACCTTCCTCCCTTTGAAACAAATGCCCGCCCCTTAGGACGTACCTTTCCGTTTCTTCTCTTACCTTAATACTGACTAACGTAGGTTGTTTATTTCCTACCAACAACAATCCGATCTCCCGAAAGAGCCCTTCGTAGGATTGGACATAGAAAAACTTATGTCCTTCCTTGCCCCCATCCTTCCCTTCCTGCATCTGATTTACCACCCATTGCAACTCTTTCCTTTCCCAAGATTCCACTAAGCTCATCACTGCTTCCCGGCCTCCTTCGACCGCCATTGCCATTAGTTCCTCTTTTGGTCCTACTATCGCTCCTCATGAATCCTTTTCTTCTCTGCGTCCTCGAGTGGTAACTGGTCCTTCTCTAAGTTCTGCTACTACGGCAAGTGCCCCTTTCTCCAAAGTCTGGATCAATAGTTCTCCTGATGTGCATTCTCCGCTCATCATCTCGTTGTCCACCGCAAGAGTTCCTTCTTCATATTCGAGGAAGGCGTCTAAGGGCTCTGCATCCTCCATTCCTTCGGGAGTAACGCAAACCCGACTCAGCCCATCTGCCTTGTTGCGGATTCCAACAATCCGTTCGATCTTGTAATCGAACTGCCAGATGAATCTTACCCACCTCTCTACCGTCGGATCTATAGGCCTGTAATTCTTTAGAGCCTCTGCAACATTCGTCGGATCGATTCTTAAGATGAACTGCCTCCCAAATAGGTAGGCTTGGAAGGTCTTAAGGCAATGCAGGATGATTAGGACTTCTTTCTTGAATTGCGAGTACCGCCGTTCTGCGGAGTTCACGGTTCTACTTTTACCTAATCGGCCTTTCTTTTCCTCCCTCTTCCCTTTGAATCAACACACCTCCTACGACCAAAGGTCCTCCATCCGTTTCTAGGATGAAGGGTCGTCTCACTTCGTCATTAAAACAAGGCGCGGACAGGGCGACTGTCTCAGATATTAATATGTCCTTGAGCCTTTGGACAGCTCCTTCTCGCTCCTCCGTCCAATCCATGGTTCCTTCTTCCCTGATCATAGCCCGGATAGGCTCAGCAATCTTGGCAAAGTTCTTAATGAAATCCTCCAAAAGCCGACTACTCCTGGGAATGTCCTTACCTCCGTTGTCGTGGGCAACGGTGTCGACCATTGTGATATCTTGTCGGTTTTTGCCAAATCCGGCTTCCTGCCGTAAGCACCGCAACGAAACCCTAGTATAGTTACCTCCGGTACTGCTAGGATACTCTTTGGTCCACTCGCCGTAATGTTGTATACTAGGAACCGTCGGAGTAAATCCTTGATGTCCTGCAGGTGGTCCCACACAAAACGTCAAATCCCTGGCTGGACTTTCGTCCCGTCCTTCTCCTGCGCGCCTTTGATCGGATTGTCATCGATGTAAGGTTCACATTTTTTCTGGGAACAAGTCCCCGGCCATGGCGAGCACCCTGCGTTGCGCTTCGGCCACCGCATTTGTGAATCCCATAGGTGTCACTTGCATCTGTAGCTGGCCTACGGGGGTGTGCATAGTGGTGTATGGCCGGTCCCGAACATCCAATGGAAGTTGGTCGTACCCTGAGTACAGATCTATCAGGGAGTAAATGCTCCAACCGGCGTGCGATTCTGCTGATAAGTCAGCCTGAGGTAGCGAGCCAGCATCCCGGATGGTTACCGCATTCAACTTCTGCAGGTCATGAATCCACCTTAGTATCTTATTAGGCTTCCGAAAGACGAACCACCGATTTGCGTATGGCGATGCCGTAGGGCCCGCAACGAAGGAGTCCATCTTCGCTCGGAGGAGGTCTGTTACTTCTCCTGCTATCCCAAATTCATAGGATGACCCCTTGTCATTCCAACACTCATGTTCTACCGTGTGGATTCTGACCGGAGGGATCAACTTCGCATACAGTCGTCCCTTCTGGTGATCACTAAAGGCAAATGTCAGGTGAAACTCCTGGCAGGTCCTTTTGATCAGGCGGGTTTCTTCTTCCGTTAAGAACCCGTCTATCCCTATCTTCATTGTGTCTGCTACCTCATCTGGTATCCTATGTCCCTCCGTCGCCCTTCTTTCTCGGATCACTCGAAGGACCTCTTCCTCCTTCTCCATAGTCTCTTCCTTTGACGTCTCTAGCAAGATCGAGACCGGTTTTGCTTTCTTCCCTACCGACTTGTACTTTCGAACACTTCCTTCCGGGATCTTTCTCCTAAAAAATGAACAGTCGGAATTGCCCTCGTCGCCTCTACGACTCGTGGTTGAATACTAAGTAGTTTCCCATTCAGGCAATATCCCTTTTGCACCTCTCTTTCGAATTTGGCCAAGATTGCCGAATCCACTCCTACCTTGTGGTATCTGAGGGCCTTGATGAGCTGCAATAGATCGGGGATCTCGAGTGCGATTTTCGGCACGTCTATGCGTAGTTCTTTCCGTTTGGGCAGGCTAGCACCAATGTCGACCTCTGACTCAGTTTTCGATACCATAACACCTAGGACTTCGTCCTCCTGCCTCCTCTTCTTCTCGGGCAGGCCCATCTTGATCCACTCCTTCTTGTTGAATGCTTCCTCAATCATGATTTCTACCCTTTCTCTCATACCCTCCATCTGTGCGAAAACCCCTTTCCGCGTGCTATCTTCGAACGACGGCGACCATGTTGCCAATTTCCCCTTCGGGGGGTCTTCTCCCATTCCAAGGAGTCGGAGGAGCTCTCCCCGGCCGGTCATTGAGTCCTCTATGTCTACCATGCATGAGCCATCGTGCAAGTGCATGCCTATCATCTCCACGTTCAAGCACCACGGTCTCCCGAGGATTATGTCGTGGTCCATCTCCTCCATTACGGTCATCCGCTGAAACGACCACATCGATTCCTTGACCCCTGCCTTTACAGCACACTTCGTGATGTACCCAGCGAACGGGATTTCCCCGCCAGCCCCCCGGATGCTCCCTGTTACTTCCTTGTTTACCGTACAACCCGTGATGATTGCGAAACCTCTTCTTATGAGAGTGATTTCTGCTCCCCCGTCTACTAACGCGTCGGTATGATGAGTCCCGATCTGGATTTTCAGCTTCCCTACGGGCAATGCATGAAAGTTAAGCTTTGTCCCAGGTGGTCACCTCATGACCTCGTCGCCCTCTCGGTCGGGCAAACTCAAACTAATGTCCGCAAAAGCTTTCTCGAGATCCTCTATGTCTCCGCGACTCCTCTGCAGATTAGCCACTTCTTGCGGAACTTCCTCCTCCCTCTCCCCTTTTGGTAATTCGGGGTTGTCGCCTATTTCTACTCGTCGCCGGGTCAACAGTTGTCTAAGCCCTTTGAGCAACCTAGGGCTAGCCTGTAGCATAGTTTAAAAAGACACCGACACCATGGTTCTTAGTAACTTGCTTATGGTGTCGTCGATTTCCGGCAAGGATAAGATCGGGATTTGGTACCTAAACTTCTTCTTGGCAGCGGTAACTTTGTCAATAGGCTCCTCTTCCCTAGGTTTCCCATAGACCTTTTCCGGTTCCTCGGCCTCAGGCTCTGCCTGGAGTTCCGAACTTCCAGCAACCTCCTCCATCACGGTGTCGTGGTTAATCCTTCTCCCAGCCGTCCCTAGCCGAGTAGTCGCGTTCACCTTATCACGTCCGTCGTTTTCCAAAATGAAATTGACCTGCGGCCCGCGCCCCTGGCGTTGATCCCAAATGATCTCGCCCACCGGTTGGCTTCTACGACTGTTATTTATAACCCGTTGAGCATGATAATGACTCGCCGCATCCCTCCTGGCGACTTCCAGTTCACTTGTTCCCCTTGTGGTCCAAATATCTCCCCCTTTAACGACTTGGTACACCTTCTTTTCAGAATATCATGGTTGAGCTTTGGGCACGCGCGCACATAATGTCATATCGCGATACAGTACTTGCATTGCTCGTTAGCGGGGTCTCTTCGTCCGAACCCACGATTGGCCACCCCTGGCGGAACTACTACTTCCTGGCGCGGGAGGGGGGGCCGGGATACTTGCGCCTGCATAACTAGTAGCGCGCTCTCCATCCTTTCAATCTTGTTGTCGACTCCGTGCACCCGTTCGTGTAGGCTTTCAATCCCCTTTTTCACCTTGTCGCCCGTCCTACTGGTTAAGTCTATGACCTCACCTTCCTTAAGCAAGGCCAATGTATCGGTCACTACCATTTTTTCGGCCAGATCCGTTACCGTACTGAAATCAACATCCCTAGTGTTTACAAATTTTCTCGTCTGTTGGTAAACTGACAGGATCTTGTCCTTGTCGAACTCGGAGAACTGTCTGAGGAAGTACTTACTCATTATTCGGTCCGTAACCTCGGGGATTCTTAGTGCTACCAAAGTAAATTCTCGTAGGAAGTCATTGTACGTCGCAAAGTTTTTTCTCTGCACTGCCGCTAAATCGGCCTCCGTTGCCAACTTTTCTTAACATCCACTAGGTAGCCTTGATTTTTGTTTAGTGCTCGCGCGAGGGACGATACTATCTTCTTAAGGCCGCCCTCGGAGCTGCTGGCCTCGCCTGTCACACTGTTATCCGGACCTTCCTTGCCGGCCTTCTGTCCCTCCCTGGTTTTCGTAGTTCCTTCCGGGTCAAACCATCCCAACACTCTTTTCCTAAGGCTCCAGAGTCCTTCGCACCCTCGCGTCACCGCTGGCGCGGTCGGCAGGCGGCTAGCCCTACTATCTATGGCTGGCGGGGTCGTAGCCTTTTTCGCATCCATCCCCGGAGAGTTCTCCCCCTCTTTCCTTCTTTTGCTCGACGTTCCCCCACGGTTACTACCTTTACCCCCTTGTCCAGTCCCACCTTGGTCGGTTCTCCGTCCGTCTCGAGGCTCCTCCTGTAGAGAGCCTTTTTCGTTCCCAATCATCATTTCCTCAATCAATCTTGCCTTGTACTCCGCGGTCCTTTTGTCTATCTCGGCTAGTTTGCGCTTCGTATCCGTGACCCTTACTTTCTTAGACACGACACTTTCCAAGTTTCCGGGGTTTGTCCTATCCTTATTTCTGCCTTCCTTGGTCCCCTGAGTCCCTTGCCTGCTTCCCCCAGCTTTCCCTAAGCTTTCCCCTGTGGAATCTCCTTCCGGTTTCCTTTAGTACCATCCGGATTTATCGATTCTGTGTCCTTCTGCCCCCCTTCGCTTGTGCGGCACTGCCTCCTAAGTCTGGTTCCCCTTCACTCTTATGATTATCTGTCTCCTCCTCCGTTGCCATTTTGCCTAGTTCTGCATAAGCCAAAGAATTCCCCGGACACACGCAATGCGAGGTTTTTAGGTTCCCTAGGCCCCTAGCTCTGTTGGCTTATCCTTATAATCTCCTTTCCTATCCCCATTTCCTGATTGCCCTTCCTTAAGGAGGAGCCACGACTGGCCCTGCCGCCCAGCCGAGCTATGAATGTGACTGGGCTTCCTTTATCACAAGCCCGTTTGTAGTGCCCTTGTCTCGTCGGCCGACGCGAGGGAGTCCGGGTTAGCCATCCTGCTAGGGGAAGCCTTTCCTAGGAACGTTTCCCGTTTTTTAACCTCCGGGTTATGGTCACTCATTAGGAGTCTACCCTCTTCTTTGTTTTTCTAGTGGGTTTTGGCCATCCGGGTCCGAGGCCCCTTTCTTATTCCCATCGGCGGATTTCCGTACGCAGCGAACTATACTGGATCTGCCCTATTGGCCAGCCTGCGGATCCTACCCCCACTCGTGCCCTCGTGGTTCTTCCGGTTCGGTCGGCTCCTCGAATAGCTGAGCCACCCCTGCCAAATAGCTCTCTTCTATCTCGATTTCCCTTTGGATTATGCGTTCGTGCCTTGTCTGGTCTAGCCAGGGCCCACGAAATATCAGGATATGGATGACCTCCAGTAACTCGTGGGCCCTGTTTCCCCAGAACGGCCCATGCCTCACGGCGACATCATAAAACATCCCGATGGTTAGAGAGGAGAAGTGGTCTGCCCACATTATTGCCGAGTCTGCCAGCTCCCGCGCCCTAGCGAGGCTCCCGAAGACGAGATCTATCATAAAACGGGGGACCCAGCACCTCAGCGGTGTGGTTGGTGCCCTGAACTCCCTCCAACCTCCCATCTCCACCCGGGTTAGCAAGCACACGTTCCTTCTTCCCCTGACCGAATGTCCTATCTGGGTCAACATCCGGGTGGCCCTTTGAAAGACCGGTGTCAGCTCGTGACCTTGTGCTATTTCTACCCCCAACGAATGT